TCACTCATCTTTGAAGAGAGGCTCTCCCCCATCACCTCTACTTTTCACTGCTGTCTGCACAGTTGTCCAAGCAGGGTCCCCCATGGCTGACCCTGAACTCAAGGCACTCATTCGCCTCCATCTGCTGAGGTCTGGGATGGTAAGCAGAAGTCCCACACAGTTTTAATGGTGTGTGTGTGTGTGTGTGTGTGTGTGTGTGTGTGTGTGTGTGTGTGTGTGTGTGTGCAGGTTCCCCTGTGTCAGCTCAGGTGTCACTCCTCGGATCTGACCACATTGCTTGTTGAGGCGAGATCGTTCTCTGCCCTAGAACTGACCAATTAGGCTTCTGGGATGACAGGCAAGGTTTTTTTTGTTTTTGTTTGTTTGTTTATTTTTGGGGTGGGTTCTGGAGAGACGGCTCAGCACTTAAAAGCATGGCTGCTCTTGCAGAGGACCTGGGTTGGCTTCTCAGCACCAACATGGCAGCTCACAACTGCCTGCAACTCCAGTTCCAGGGGATCTGGCGCCCACATCTGGCCTCTATAGGAATTGCACACATATGCTACCCAAACACTTATATACATATTTTCCTCTTCTGGAATTGAACTGGGGGCCTTGTTCTTGCGAGACAAACACTTTAATGACTACGCTATCTCCCTGGTCCAAGACTTTTTGTTTATGTGTATGGGTGTTTTGTCTGCATGTAAGTGTACTGCATGCATGCCCAGAGCCTGGGAAGGTCAGAACAGAGAGCCAGGTCCTTGGAGCTGGAGCTTCAAAGGTTGCGAGCCATCGTGTGGGTGCTTGGAACCTAACCCAGGCCCTCTGCAGGAGGAGCCAGCACTATTAGCTACTGAGCCATCTTCCCAGACCCCTCCCGTGATTATTTTAAGAGAAGAAATACATATGTATCTCAGCTTATCCAAAATACTATTTCAGCATTTCGAATGTATCCCACATGAAGTCCACAGACAGTGAGAGTCTCTCAGAGGTAGGGTGTCCCCAGTCTGGGTCTGGCCACACCATCCTTCTTGTGTGACTTCATGTGTTCTTCTGTCCCCTGCGTTTCCTGTCAACTGAGACTTGTCACAGACGTTTAATCGGAATCTGTTTTGGAGGGTGTTATCATTTTATTTGAGCTTTTTTTCCCCAGAGCCTTCAATCCACCAGACACATCCCCTCTGGCCACCCCTTGTTTTGTATTGTCAGCAGTTGCTGGTTGAGATGGGACATGGTGATAAATAAATTTCTAAACATTTGCTGGACAGTGGTGGTGCACACCTTTAATCCCAGCACTCAGGAGGCAGAGGCAGGTGGATCTCTGAGTTTGAGGCCAGCCTGGTCTACAGAGAGAGTTCCAGGACAATCAGGGCTACACAGAGAAACCCTGTCTCGAAAAACCAGAAGTAAATGAACAAATTAATTTCTAAACATTTACAAACTTTATAAGACTTCCCTAATACCAAACATCCATTTGTTTCTCAAGCAAATCTTTGTATTTTACAATGTGCCTCGAAGTTTCTGGTTGAAAAGTCACATTCAGAACTGATTTAAAAGGACATGTTGCTTCTCAGAAAATGGAACCAATCTTAAAGCTGTCCCATTTTCAAGATATTCCATGTGTTTGACAGACTGGATACATCACACAGATGTATGGTGTCCCCTGCACAAAGATGAAATATGAACCAGATATATTAGATTTGCATTATTATAACCAAATACCTTGAAGCAATGAATTTATCAAGAGAAAAGATTGTAGTTCTCTTCTTGGTTCCTGGGTTTGAATACAAGATCCACTAGCCCCACTGATGTCTGGAGAGGCCAGGCTTTCAGGAGGGAACACGTAACAGAGCAAAGTGTGCATGTCATGAACCAGGAAGCAGAAACTGGGCAGGAAGGTGCGAAGGTCCCCTAAGTCCCCTTAAAGGCATTCCACCAATGGCCTCAGGCCCTCTCACTAAGTCCCACCCCTTAAATGGCCTCAGCACCTTCCCATAGTGCCACATATAGGTCAGATCTTTAGCACCATGATCTTTGGGGGACATCCAAACCATGGCGTTGGATGAAGCCTCTCCTGGGTATCAGCCTTAGTCACGAGAGCATGACAGCGAGCAAATTAGAGAGGCCCACTTGAACCAGAGGGCGGGGGGCTAGTGAAAACAAGTTAAATCAGCACGGGATGGGAATGGGGTGGCGGGATAGGCCCTTCTGAGGGAGGGGGTACGGATGTTGAGGTCTGAGAAGCACCCCACGAAGGTGGAGGAGACTGTGGTGTCCCCGGCAAAAGGACAGCAGGTGTGGAGGCTGGCACGCCAGGGCAGGCAGCAGGGAGAGCAGTGTGGCTGCAGAGACGGCCGAGGAGGCAGGGGAGGAGGTGGGAGGGAAGCCGGCAGCTGGCAGGGCCTGGGGGCAGCGGGGGACTCGGGCATTTAGTGTGCCACGGGTGCAGAGAGCTCAGACCGGAAGCAGGCGTCTTCAGAGCCCCTCCCACTACCTTAGAGACCAAGGGCAGTGGTTGGTGGGAGGCAGGAGGAGGTGGGGAGCGTGGAGGGAGACGTGGAGGGAGGGATCCTTGATCTGTTCTGAAAGCAGAGCTGGCAGGCTTGATGCTGAGGAATCAGGTGTGGGTGACGAGACAAAAAAGAGCAGGCGGGATGACTCAGAGATTTTTTACTCAAGCTCATGGGGTGGGTGGGAGCTGCTATTCCTGAAATGGGTAAGGCTGGGGGAGGGGAGATTTCATCTTCTAAAGTTCGCTTCCGGATTCACATGTGGTCCTCCATGCCTATAAGCCCAGCACTCTGGAGGCAGAGGCAGGAGGGGTGCCAAGCATCCAGGGCAGCCTGGTCTGTATAGGAAGTTCCAGGCTAGCCAGCGTTACATAGCAAGACAAAGTCTCCTCCAGCCCCCCAGAGTTTCTCTGTATCCTCGCCTGTCCTAGAACTCACTCTGTAGACCAGGCTGGCCTCGAACTCAGAGATCTACCTGCCTCTGTTTCCTGAGTTTTGGGATTAAGGGTGTGTGTCACCACCACCTGGCTGACAGTCTTTAAAATAATAATAATGATAATTAAATAAAAAAACAAGTTACTGAGCCGGGTGGTGGTGGTGCATGCCTTTAATTCCAGCACTTGGAGACAGAGGCAGGCGGATCTCTGTGAGTTCAGAGAAACCCTGCCTGGAAAAACCAAAAAAGGAAAAGAAAGAAAACAGCTTACTTCTGAGCTTTTCTGTTTGTGAGGTGATACCCACGAAGATGTCAGTGGTCACATTTTTCAAGACTCTGGAAAGCAGTCAGAGCCCGGATGGGGAGACCTGACAATTATATATGCATAGAGACACTGGAGCCTGGAATCCCAGCGTTACCTTAGGGAATTTGGAAATAAGCAAAAGGTGTGGCTCTCAGTCCTGCCCCCCACCCACCTCCAACCTCCACCCGGGTCAACAGTGGCCAGAGAAGGCGTTACAAAAGAAGAGGCAGGACAGACAGATGACAGTGACCAGGAGAAAATAGCAAATCTGCAGAGTAGAGCCCAAGAGTGGACTGGGGGGGATCCCAGATCCCCATGGGGGGTGCTGGTGAATGCACCAGGGTACCCGATGAGAAGTTCCTGTGTGACTCGTCTCTCTGCTCTGCGGTTTTAGAGCCTTTCACGATTTGCAAAGCCTCTTACTCATTTAGAAAACATTTTTGCAAAGCTCCTAGCTTTTCACAAAGAACAGCCTAGAGCCAGGAAATATCGCTTCTGTTCGTGCAAACGGAGAGACGTCTCTCTCTCCGTTTGCACTCTGCAGACCGTCTCTAGGTTGGTCGGGAAACTCATCTAGTAAAACACAACGTGCATCTTTCAACATAAAACAGAACAGTGAGAACCATTGCGTAGCAAAGCCAGAATTGTCTTGAAACTTTTTTTTAATTGAACTGTAAAATGCTTTCTTAACTGCTGGTGAGGCCAAGGGTGTTTGAGAAACTGCCTAAAAATGCACAGTGGATTTGGGGGCTTAGCCTGCTTGATGGAGTGCTTGCCTAGCAGGCACAAGGCCTTGGGTTTGGTTCCCAGAATTGCATAAACTACGTCGGGTGGTATGTGCATGTAATCCTGACACTCAGAGGGCTAAAGCAGGAAGACTGGGAGTTTCAGGCCAGCCTGGGCTACATGAGACCTTGTCTTAACAAACAAAAAAAGCAGGTGGGCATAGCGGCGCACGCCTTTGATCCTAGTACTCAGGAGGCAGAGGCAGGTGGATCTCTATAAATCAGAGGAGAGGGTGGGTTACAAAGTGGGTTCCAGGCTAGCCAGGACTACATAGAAAGACCTTGTCTCAAACAAAAAAAAAAGCTAAATTAATTTTTAATTAAAAAAAACACTATTGTTAGCTGGCCGTATTGGTGCACACCTTTGGTCCCAGCACTTGGGGCAGAGGCAGGAAGATCTCTTGAGTTCCAGGTCAGCCTGGTTACAGAGAGAGTTCCAGGAGCGCCAGGGCTACACAGAGAAATCCTGTCTCGAAAAACTAACAAAACAAAACAACAACAACAACCATTATTTTACCAAGAGCAGGGACGTTTATTTACTTCCATTTTGGGATCACAGACACGCACCTCCACACCCTGTTTATGGGGTGCTGGGGACCTATCATGCATCTGAGGCAAGCTCCCTATCAACTGAGCCTGTGTTTCACTTTGTTTGTGGTGTTTTGTTGTTGATGCTGTTGTTATGTTTGCTTTTGGCACAAGGTCTCACTATGTAGCCCAGGCTGGCTTAGAACTCACTTTGTTGACCAGGCTGGCTTCGAACTCATAGAAACCTACCTGCCTCTACCTCCCCAGTGCCGGGATTAAATATCACTATACTATGCTCAGTGTGGCCACAGCCCTTTTAAGTGGTGGTTGTTTCCATGCTGAGGCCTGAGTTCACACACACACACACACACACACACACACACACGCACGCACGCACGCACACGCACACGCACGCACACACACACACACACTGACCTCCCCTGCCTGCCCGCCCACAGGCCATGGACAGCCAGAAGCAGTTCTCTGGCCCAGAGATCCAGTTCCTGCTTTCCTGCTCCGAAGCGGATGAGAATGAAATGATCAACTGCGAAGAGTTCGCCAACCGCTTCCAGGAGCCAGCGCGGGACATCGGCTTCAACGTGGCAGTGCTGCTGACCAACCTGTCGGAGCATGTCCCCCACGACCCGCGCCTGCGCAACTTCCTGGAGCTGGCTGAGAGCATCCTGGACTACTTCCGGCCTTACTTGGGCCGCATTGAGATTATGGGCTCATCACGGCGCATAGAGCGGATCTACTTCGAGATCTCAGAGACCAACCGTGCTCAGTGGGAGATGCCCCAGGTCGGTAGACCCGTGCGTGTGTGCCTGCCGCCCTGGTGCCTTGGGTGTTCAGACCCTACGTGGGGTTGTGAACATCTTCAGTGCCTGTATCTGGGGGTCCCTGCTCCGCCCTGACAAGCACACACCCCCTCCTATTGTATCATATTTGAAGACAAGGTTTTATATATCCCAGGCTGGCCTTAAACTCACGTTGTAGCTGAGGATGGCCCCTACCCCCATCGTCCCAGTGCTGGGATTACAGGTGTGTGCCACCACATCTGGCTTTTGGCATTCTGGGAATCAAACCCAGGGCTTCCTGCGTGCTAGGCAAACGCTACCAACTGACCCGCGCTAATCTTAACCCCACATCCCTCCTCAGAGCGACTTTGTGGTTTCTACTGCGATCTTGCACGACCCAAACTTGCTGGCGTCACGTCTTGCATGGGCATCTCCCGTGCATTGCAGCTGTTGCAATGGGCGTGCCCTCATGGTCCCTGCATGACTTGCAACTCACCCTGGGAACCCTGGTGTGACCTGTCATTTTGACGCGGTCACACCCACGTTTGAATCTGCAGGTCACGCACACCTTGCTCACCTGCCCTCTGGGCCCTGGTTGGCCCATGCCCACTCCCCCCCCCACACACACACACTGCGATGGCTCTGGGGTGCCCTGGCGTGCTAGCACACTGCTCTCTGATCACCATTCTGTCAAATATGCCCCTCAGAAGCATGCCCGGAGCAGCCTGGGCCTTTGCAATCCCATCTCGGTGCATCCCAACCCCAGCCCCACGCATCCAACCCCACCAGTGCTTGAATATGTCCCACGCTCTCCCCCGAGAGGAAACTCACAGCTCCAGCATGCTGCCAGCCCGCTGGGTTACGCAGCTCATCTGGGGGTCCCACTCCCTTTCCCTGTATCCGCATGTGGTCCTCACATGCCCTCAGTCCTGCCCTCTTCCGGCGCCCCTGGAGTCCTCCTGCATACACTTGCACACACACACACACGTCCTTGGCACAGCCCCCAGCCCTTGCACACAGTCCGCAGTAGAAACCCAGCTCAGGCACACGTGGACCTGCTCCGCCGTGTCCTGCCCACGTGCTTTGGGCCCGTTTACACACTCCCCTGGCATAGACGGTGTAAATGCAGGCCCTTGCACGATTACACGCTTCCTCCTCTGCGTGGTCCCGTGCTCTTCCTACACGCAGAGCCTCATGCAGTGCGCCCACACCCTCCCAGCATCTTCCCTGGATGCTGATGCTCTGTTCACACCTGAATCCGCTCTTGGTCCCTGGTGCCCCCTTGCTCTCCACAAGAACCCTCACGAGCTTGCCCCGCACACTCACATCCCACCCGGACACGGCCGTGCACCCAGATCGTCTGCACGCGTGTGTCCGCAGGGAGGCCCCGTTCTCCATGTCCTCCTTGCTGGTGCTTCTGCTGCTAGTGCCCCCTCCTCCCACGTGCTCCTCCCCTGCTCCCCTCCTCCCATGTGCTCCTCACCTGCTCCCCCTCCTCCCACGTGCTCCTCACCTGCCACCTCCTCCCATGTGCTCCTCACCTGCTCCCCTCCTCCCATGTGCTCCTCACCTGCCTCTTCCTCCTCCCACGTGCTCCTCACCTGCCACCTCCTCCCATGTGCTCCTCACCTGCTCCCCCTCCTCCCACGTGCTCCTCACCTGCCACCTCCTCCCATGTGCTCCTCACCTGCTCCCCCTCCTCCCATGTGTTCCTCACCTGCTCCCCTCCTCCCATGTGCTCCTCACCTGCTCCCCCTCCTCCCATGTGCTCCTCACCTGCCTCTTCCTCCCATGTGCTCTTCGCCTTCTCCCCTCCTCCCACATGCTCCTCACCTGCTCCCCCTCCTCCCATGTGCTCCTCACCTGCTCCCCCTCCTCCCACGTGCTCCTCACCTGCCACCTCCTCCCATGTGCTCCTCGCCTGCTCCCCCTCCTCCCATGTGCTCCTCACCTGCCACCTCCTCCCATGTGCTCCTCGCCTGCTCCCCCTCCTCCCATGTGCTCCTCACCTGCTCCCCCTCCTCCCACGTGCTCCTCACCTGCCACCTCCTCCCATGTGCTCCTCACCTGCTCCCCTCCTCCCATGTGCTCCTCACCTGCTCCCCCTCCTCCCATGTGCTCCTCACCTGCTCCCCCTCCTCCCACGTGCTCCTCACCTGCCACCTCCTCCCATGTGCTCCTCACCTGCTCTCCTCCTCCCATGTGCTCCTCACCTGCTCCCCCTCCTCCCATGTGCTCCTCACCTGCCTCTTCCTCCCATGTGCTCTTCGCCTTCTCCCCTCCTCCCACATGCTCCTCACCTGCTCCCCCTCCTCCCATGTGCTCTTCGCCTTCTCCCCTCCTCCCACATGCTCCTCACCTGCTCCCCCTCCTCCCATGTGCTCCTCACCTGCCTCTTCCTCCCATGTGCTCCTCACCTGCTCCCCCTCCTCCCATGTGCTCTTCGCCTTCTCCCCTCCTCCCACATGCTCCTCGCCTGCTCCCCCTCCTCCCATGTGCTCCTCACCTGCTCCCCTCCTCCCACGTGCTCCTCGCCTGCTCCCCCTCCTCCCATGTGCTCCTCCCCTGCTCCCCTAGTGCCTAACCTCTCTTCCTGTGATCTCCCTGGACACCCACTCCACCCTCCTGTGCTCCCTGAGAATGCACGCGTGTCCACACGGGCCTGGGAGGAGCATACCACCAGTGAGCACTACGGACTTGTGAGATACCAGGCAGGCACTAAACACTCAACACCTGGCGATTCATTAAATCTTCACTGCCACCTGTAGCCAGGCCTCCCATTGTGCCCCATATATGGAGGGGGAAACTGAGGCCCACGGAATCAAATAGAACAGTCCCCCAGCTTCTCGGTAGTAGAATCAGGATTTGAACCCCATGCCAGCTGCAAAACTTTAGTGCTTAGCACCATATCCTGTCTTCCCAGAAAGGCTAGAAGGTGGTGCATGCCTGTGAGGCCAGCACTGGGGAGGGAAGGCAGGGAGACCAGGAGGAGGTCAAGGTCATCCTTAGTGACCCACAGCATTTGAGATTAGCCAGGGAGACCTGAGACCCTGTCTCAGAACAAACAAAGCCGCTTGAAGGTTCGGGCTGGCCATGTACAAGGACAGTCATGTAATCCCAGCACGGGAACGGCTGAGGCAGGAAAATCACATGTACAAAGCAAGTGTGTGCTAGATATGAGACGGTCTCAAAACAAAAACAAAACTGAAAGCAAAACGAAAGCTGGAGAGGTGGCTCGGAGGTTAAGAGCACTGGCTGCTCTTCCAGAGGTCCTGAGTTCGATTCCCAGCACCCACATGGCGGCTCCCAACCGTCTGTAATGAGATCTGGCGCCCTCCTCTGTAACGCAGGCAGAACACTGACAAAAGCTAGCTTCTGGATCGAGCTTGTTGGGAGCTCAAAGTTTTCTTATGATCTGTGTCACCCTGGTGCCTATCTAGGTCTATGTAAAGTCTTGATTTGCTGTTTTTCCTCTGTTAAGATAACAAACTTACCTACAAATGAGTAAGTGTGTGCACACGACACGCGCGTGCACACACACACAGAAACAGACAGAGAGAGAGAGACAGAGACAAAGAAAGAGAGGCAGGCAGAGACAGAGGCAGACCAAGAGAGAGAGAGAGAGAGAGAGAGAGAGAGAGAGAGAGAGAGAGAGAGAGAGAGAGAGAGAGAGAGAGAGAGCTCAGGGCAGCCTAGAACTTGGGATCCTCCTGCCTTGCCTCTTGTGTGTTCGAATGACAGGCATGCTGGACCATGCCCTGTAATTAGCCGCTGTTAATAACTTGAGGGCTGTGTGCAGTGGTGTGTACCTGTAGACCCAGACCCTGTGGAGGCCGAGTGAAGAAGATTGAGGCCATGAGTTCAGAACCAGCCCAGGCAGCATAATGACACCATGACTCCTTAAACATAAAAGAAAGTGTGGGGTGTGGTGGCGCACCCCTTTAATCCTACCATTTGGGAAGCAGAGGTAGGTCAATCCCTGTGAGTTTGAGGACAGCCTGGTCTATATAGTGAGTTCTGGGCTAACATACAGCAAGACCCTATCTGCAAAATAATGATGATGATAAAATAATAACAGTGATAACTGCAGTTACTAGTGCTTACTGCTTTTGCAGAGGACCCGAGTTGGGTGGCTCGCAACCCTCTGACCTGTTACTGTAGGTCTAGGGACCCTACGCCCTCTCCCAGAACCTTTGGTCCCTGCACTCACATGCACTCAGACACACATAATTTTATTTTTTAATATTATTTTATGTGTGACTGTTTTGCTTGCACACAATGCATTTGCCACCTGCATGTGTGTTCCTGGAGGGCGCTGAAACCCCTGAACTGGAGTCCCAGATGGGTGTGAGCCGCCCTATGGATGCTGAGAACCGAACCCGGGGTCCCCTGGAAGAGTAGCCAGTGCGCTCAACTGCTGAGTCATGTCTCCACCTCTACACGGAATTTACAACAACAATAATAAAGGAAATCGTGGAGGGTGGTTCTTCGCAACTCAGCAGCAGTATCAGGAGTTGATGGGCATCCTCGATCCCATAGGCAGATGGAGCCCAGCTTGGGCTACATGAGTCCGGGTCTCAAAGGGGTACAGCAAACCCTGCCGTGTCTGCTTCCTCCTCTGCAGGTGAAGGAGTCCAAGCGCCAGTTCATCTTCGACGTGGTGAACGAGGGCGGCGAGTCGGAGAAGATGGAGATGTTTGTAAGCTTCTGCGAGGACACGATCTTCGAGATGCAGATCGCCGCTCAGATCTCGGAGCCGGAGGGCGAGCCGGAGGAGGACGAGGACGAGGGCGCCGAGGAGGCCGAGGAGGGCGCGGCGGGCCCCGACGGAACTGGCGTTGCGGCGGCGGCGGGCGTGTGGGCATGGCTGGCGGCGGTGGCGAGCCGCACGCTGCGGGGCCTGAGCTACCGTAGCCTGCGGCGGCGCGTACGGAGGCTGCGGAGGCTGACGGCGCGGGAGGCGGCCACGGCGGTGGCCGCGCTGCTCTGGGCGCTGGTGGCACGCGCGGGGGGCGCGGGCGCGGGAGCAGCGGCGGGGGCGCTGAGGCTGCTCTGGGGCTCGCTGTTCGGCGGCGGGCTGGTGGACAGCGCCAAGAAGGTGACGGTGACCGAGCTCCTAGCAGGCATGCCGGACCCCACGGGCGACGAGGTGCACGGCCAGCAGCCGAGCGGCCCTGGCGGTGATGCCGAGGGAGAGGGCGAGGGAGAGGGCGAAGGCGACACCGCCGACGGCGTGGGAGACGAAGAGGCAGCAGCGGACCAGGCTGGCACTGGAGGTGCCGAAGGGGCCGTGGCTGTGGCCGATGGGAGCCCCTTCCGTCCAGAAGGCGCTGGTGGTCTCGGGGACATGGGTGACACAACGCCTGTGGAGCCTCCCACGCCAGAGGGCTCTCCCATCCTCAAGAGGAAGTTGGGGGTGAGAGAGGCCTCCAAGGCTCCAGGGCATGGAGAGAGAGGGACAGCCTCATGAAAACCCTCAGAGAAAGCAGAACTGAAAGAGGAGAAGGTCAAAATCTTGAGAAGAGAAACGTATACTGTGGGCTAGAGAGAACCAAGTTAGAGGAACCGGGGAGGACCAGACTGAAAAGACCCACGGAGACAGTGCCCGTGATCCTCGGAGAAACTAAGGGCTGTAGGAGTTAAATAGTCTGAGAGGGAGGTCGCCCAGCATCCTCACACTCTGGCGCTTTGACTGCAGCCTGTGGTTGTCAAGGTGATGAGAAGCCATGAGGGACAAGAGCATCCTTTGGGCGAGCGTGCTGACACAAGCCTGTGTTTCCCATATTGGGGAGGCTGAGGTGGGAGGATCTGGAGTTCAATACCAGCTCGGGCTACCCCACAGACACAAAGCTCTTTGAATTCAGACTGCTTCTGCCTAGGATTGTGAGCCAGGCATTTTATCTCCCTGCGGCTCAATTTCCCCTCTGAACAACGAGACTCTTAATCCCCCTTTCCCTGGCAGAGGGGAGGAAGGATAATAAATATTTTGATTACCCAGGGAGAAAGAGGTGAGGCCAGCGAGTAGCAAGGCTAGGAAGAGGCTGGCGAGCCCCACCAAGGCTCAGACCTGTGCCCTCTCCCCAGGTGGACGGAGAAGAGGAAGAGCCCCCTCCAGAGCCGGAGCCAGAGCCCGAACCTGAGAAAGCTGAGTGAGTGTCTTGGAGAGGAAGGGGCCAGACCCTTAATCCTTCTGGACTCAGAGCCATCGAGGTCAAGGTCCCAAGTTGTACTGGTCCCTCTCTGCCCTGTGCCCTGTGCCCTGTGCCCTCCGCCCTCAGCGTCACCCATCCGAACGTGGGGACAGAGGAAAGACTTTAAGAAGGCAACAGAGACAGGCTACTCCCTTTAGCTCTAGACCTGTGTGCACGGGGTTCCTTCTGTCTGGAGCACCTTCCCCATGCCTCACATGTGAAGCTATTTTTTTTTTTTTTTTGGTTTTTTCGAGACAGGGTTTCTCTGTGTAGTTTTGGAGGCTGTCCTGGCACTCGCTCTGTAGACCAGGCTGGCCTCGAACTCACAGAGATCCGCCTGCCTCTGCCTCCCGAGTGCTGGGATTAAAGGCTTGCGCCACCAACGCCCGGCGTGAAGCTATTTTGATGAGGTGTGGTAATCCTGTCTAATGAAGGCAGAAGACTCAAAAGTTGAAGGTCCGCCTGGGCCAGAGCGAGTTCAAGACCATCCTAGGCAACTTAGAGAGGTCTCAAAACAACATGTAAAAACAGATGTGTCTCAGAGGCAGAGAGCCCTTACCCAGCATGCTCAGGGCCCCAGCTTTAGCCCCTTCTACTGCAAACGCGCAGTTTTGCTTTGCTTTGGGCTGCTTTTCTTTCCCAGGCTGGGCGGAGGACCAGGCCTTTGCGTATGCTGGCACAAGCTCTACCAATGAGCCCCATCCCCCCACACACACACTAAGAGGACAGGTCCCATGTTGTCCCATCACCCTGGGTCCCCAGCACCATCTAGACCTGGCCTGGCATGCCCACAGATCCCTTCTGTGCCCTGCAGTTCTGAGAACGGAGAGAAGGAAGACATCCCCGAGCCTCCTCCGGAGCCCCCCAAGAAGACACCCCCTCCGCCCCCTCCAAAGAAGGGAGACGGTGCAGGCCTGGAAGAATTCTGGGGAGAGCTGGAAGTGCAGAGGGTGAAATTCTTGGTGAGGACCCTACAGGGGTACACTAAAGCTTTCTCTTCCTGGCAGGCCCCCCCCCGCCCCAAGCGCATCTCAGAGAGGAAGCCACTAAAGGAAGAGCAGGGCTGTCCCGAGGCACAGCTGGGAGGTGTGGACCCCCAGAGGTCCCTGACGGTCCTGACTTGGGTTGGGGGTGAGGCAGGCATGTTGAGTGGCAGGTGGCTCTGTGAGGAACTGGGACAGGAGCGATGGGGAGGAAAAGATGGCTGATGAAGGAGCCGTCCTCTGCCTCCAGTAATGCAGACAGAGAAACAGCGTGTCAGGGTACTGGGGATGTGGACTCCAGTGTACCCGAGTTCAGATCCCAGCTGTAGGGTTAGGGTGTGGCGGAGAGCTTGCCCAAGTTCCATCTCTGGGATCCCTTCTCCCAAATAATAGGTTTGCAGCTCCCTGACTATATGACCTTGAGAAAGACAGCACTTCCCCAGCCTCGGCCTCTTCATTTGTAAAGGGCAGCACGACAATGGCCAGACGAAGGCTGGTGTATAAAGCTCTCAGCCAGTCTTGGCACTCAGCAGGCACTCCATGAGAAGGAGGTTGTGGGAGCAGCGAGCTGAGTCCCTGAGCTACAGATGAGCAGTAAGATGTGGTCAGGGATGAGGACGCACTGCGAACTCTCTTCCTCTCTCTTTCTAGAACTACTTGTCGAGGAACTTTTACACGCTGCGGTTCCTGGCCCTCTTCTTGGCGTTTGCCATCAACTTCATCTTGTTGTTTTATAAGGTGTCTATCCTGTGGCCCCGGGCGGTGGGGGGCGGGGCGATCAGATCTTCACCCAGTTGTGAAATGGAAGGCTCAACACACCAATACAGGAGGGCCAAGAGTTTGAGGTCCAGGAGGCAGGGGCAGGCGGATCTCTGTGAGTTCGAGGCCAGCCTGGTCTACAGAGCGAGTTCCAGGACAGCCTCCAAAGCCACAGAGAAACCCTGTCTCAAGAGAGAAAAAACCAAAAGAAAAACAGAGTTTGAGGTCACTCTTGGCTGTACAGAGTCTGAGAGTATGGGCTGCATGAGACCAGACTCAAGCAAAGAAACAGATGTAAAGCACACCAGTCTCTGAATCTAGAAAGTTCTGTGTGAATCCAGTGTGATGGCACATATCCACAATCTCAGTACTTGGGAGGCTGATACGGACAGTCGTTAGTCTGAGGCCAGCCTGGGCTATATAGCAAATCCCAGGCAAGCCTATGTTATCAAGGTACTATGTCAAAAAAACAGTGTTGATGGAAGTGGTGGTGCATACTTTTAACCCCAGCACTCAGGACAGACAGTGGTGGCGCACACCTTTGATCTCAGCACTCGGGAGGCAGAGGCAGGCAGATATCTGTGAGTTTGACGTCAGCCTGGTCTACAAAGCTACACAGAGAAACCCGGTCTCGAAATATAAAAAAAAAAAAAAAAGGAAAGGAGGGAGGGAGGATGGGAGGGAGGGAAGGAAGGAAGGGAGGGAGGGAGGGAGGGAGGGAGGGAGGAAGGAAGTAGCAGAGGCAGGTGGATTGCTCCGAGTTTGAGCCCAGCCTGCTCTACATAGTGAGTTCCAGGCTACCCAGGGAGACCCTGTCTCCACAGAGAGAATCGAGGAGGAGAGGAAACAGAAGAAAGTGTCGAGTCAATGTTACTTAGCGATTGTGATTTGGGCATAACAGGGAGGGTGCCACCAGGGTCCCCTCTGAATTACCTTTGACCCCACCTCAGGTCTCAGACTCTCCACCGGGGGGAGGACGACATAGAAAGCTCTGGAGCTGGGGACATGTCGGGGGCAGGGTCTGGTGGTGGCTCTGGCTGGGGCTCCGGGGCCGGCGAGGAGGTGGAAGGCGGCGACGATGAGAACATGGTGTACTACTTCCTGGAGGAGAGCACGGGTTACATGGAACCCGCCCTGTGGTGCTTGAGTCTGCTGCACACTCTGGTGGCTTTTCTCTGCATCATCGGCTACAACTGTCTCAAGGTGAGACACGCCCTGTGCCTGTGGTCCTCAGGCAGGGACTGCGGAAGATGCCAGAGAGGGGGCCTAGGACAGCGGTTGGGACAGGAGGCTTTAGGATGGGTAAAGATAGCCAACCAATGGAGGACTGAAGTCTCCAGCAAGGACGCCTTGGCAAATGGGTGGAATGCAGACCACGACTGTCATGCTAAGCCCCGGATTATCTGTGCCAGGCATATGTGGCTGTGTCCCTTTTCCCATCCAGGGGGCAAATGTACCATGGGGAATATTATTTCCTGCCTGTTATTCATTTGAATTAGGATCTCTGTGAAGGGGGAGCTGGAGAGACGGCCGGACAGTTAAGAGCACGTACTGCTCTCGCAGAGGCCCAGTGTTTGCATCCCATGCAGAGAGGCTCACAAATGACTGTGACTCCAGCTTCAGGGGATCTGATGTCCTCTTCTGACCTCCATGGTCACCTCCATACACATAGTAGCATGCACTCACACAGACACGCAGATCTCTATGAAGTCAGGCCCATACTAGAGCTTGCTTATAATACCAAGGGGACAGGATGACATCAAGTTCTGGGGCAGCCTGGGCTATACGGGGAGATCCTGTCTCCAAAATAAGCAGGGTATGGGCAGACAAGCCCTCACCACTAGCCAAGTAGCTGTTGACAGTTAATGATTGCTAGGGAGGGGAGAGACGATTTTCCTCACGAGTGTGGTCTGGGGTAGGTCGCCCATGCCCCAGCAGAGGGGCCCACACCTGTGTGCATGTGCAAAACACTACTTGGACTCCTGGGTTATATTTAAAAAAAATAAAACAAAGAAGGCAAGGCCTGGCATGGTGGCACACACCTTTAGTCCCAGCATCCCTCAAGAGGCAGAGCCAGGCAGATCTCTGTAAGTTCGAGACCAGACTGGTCTAAATGAAAGGGGAGAGAGAGAGAGACAGAGAGAGAGACAGAGAGAGAGACAGAGAGAGAGAGAGAGGATTCACATGTGAGATATGACCCAGGCTTGTCATGCCCCCCAAGGCTTGTCTCAAGCGATGTCTCATCGGTCCCGCATGTCTGGGAGTTCGTGTGCACCCTGGATATTTTGCTGAATGAACAGAGCTGTTTGGCTCAGTTCTTGGCCCCTCCTGCCTAGGTGCCACTGGTGATCTTCAAGCGTGAGAAGGAGCTAGCCCGGAAACTGGAGTTCGATGGCCTCTACATTACAGAGCAGCCTGAGGATGATGACGTGAAGGGACAGTGGGACCGGCTAGTGCTCAACACACCGTGAGTACCCAGCCCAGCCTCAGGGTGGCCGAGGAGGCAGGGCTGGGTTTCCACTCCAGTCCAGGCCTGGGCTTCCGGAGAGCAAGGCCCCAGGCCCCGTGACCCGGCTTGTCCTTCCTAAACCTCCCCATCCAATGGACACATGAAAGCTCCTGAGGGTACGGGATGGGGGTGACAGCTCAATGGGCGAAATACTTGCGGCTTAGCGTGAGGACCTGAGCTCAGATCCTCAAGCAGAGACGTACAAACCTGGGTGTGGCTGCCCAGTGCCTAGAATCCCAGAGCTAGGAGGCAAAGGTAGGAGGGTGGGTGGGGCTCGCTGGCTAACTGGTGGCCTCAGGATCCAGTGAGAGACCCTGTCTCAAAAAGCAGTGTGGAGGCCGGGCGTCGGTGGCGCACGCCTTTAATCCCAGCACTTGGGAGGCAGAGGCAGGCGGATCTCTGTGAGTTCGAGGCCAGCCTGGTCTACAAAGTGAGTTCCAGGACAGCCTCCAAAGCCACAGAGAAACCCTGTCTCAAAAAACCAAAAAAAAAAAAAAAAAAAAAAAAAAAGCAGTGTGGAGAGGGCTGGAGAGCTGACTCAGCAGTTAAGAGCGCTGACTGCCCGTTCAGAGGACCTGGGTTTGACCCTCAGCAGGCACACGGGGACTCACAACCATCCCGCAACTGCAGTTGCAGAAGATTTGACCCCCACTTTTGGCCTGCAACACACATGCAGGAAAAACACCCAGGCACACATAGTCGTGATGATAATAACAATAATAGTAACAATAAATGTTAAATGGAGTCTAGAACCTGGTGTAATGGCTCACAGCGGTCTCTCCGCACGTGGGAGCTCCGGGCAGGAGGATAATCTGAGCCCAGGAGTTTAAAGCGAGCCCTGTCTCATGTCGTGGTCCCTGACCGGTGGCTCCTGAACCTTCTCACGTGTCTTTATGATCTGTTGAGGTGAAGACGCATGACCAAGGCAAATCTTATAAAGAAAGCATTTAATTGGAGGCTTACAGCTTCAGAGGTTAAATCTGCTGGCACGGTGGGGATCATGGTGCCATTCAGACATGGTGCTGGAGAAGGTAGCTGAGAGTTACCTCCTGATCCCCCGGCAGCGGAGCGGGGTGGATGGGGGTCTGAGATGGGGGACTGGGATGGGCCTGGGGGCTTTAGAAACCTCAAAGGGACACCTCCTCCAACAAGGCCACGCCTCCCGATGCTTCCCCGACAGACAGCTCAGAGACCAGGGACTAAGCGTGCAAATATACGAGCGTCTGGGGTCAATGTCCACCCAATCCGCCGCAGCACCCTAACCTCCCCACACTTCTCTCTTCGTAGGTCCTTCCCCAGCAACTACTGGGACAAGTTTGTCAAGCGGAAGGTGAGAGGACGGTGGAAAGGGAGGGCTCCTGGACTAAGTCCCTTGCTGCCAGCAGACCACCCCCAGCCTTGCCAAGTGTTTGCTTTGTATGGGCAAGGGGCTGTGCCACTCTGAGAAGTCTCCCCTGGGGAACATGGGCCTGGTTAGCATAGTTCCTTCTCAAAAGAGAAGCCTGCATGTAAAGGGCACAGGGTGAGGATTCAGTCTGTGGGATTTGAGAGAGGAGATGAGCAGCAGTGTGGTAAGCACCGGTAAGAATTGTGTCTTTGGTGGCCTGAGCCCGTAGCTCAGACGGCAGAGTGCTTTCAAGCGTGAGCAAAGCCCCTGGGTTCAGTCCCCAGCACTCTATAAAAGTATGGTGGTGCATGCCTTTACTCAGGATGTGGAGGCAGGAGGATCATAAATTCAAAGTCATCCTTATCTACGCAGTGAGTTAAGGGCTAAATTGTTCTATGATATCCTGTCTCCAGAGAAACCCAAACCAGCAACTACATGGATGGATGGGTGGATGGATGAATGGATGGATTGGTGGATGATGGACAGAGTGATGGATGGATGGATGATGGGTGGATGGATGGTGGGTGATGGAGGGATAGGTGGTGGGTGGATGATGGACAGATGGATGGATGGACAGATGGATGGCCAGCTGATTGGTGGATGGATAGTTGGCATATGAATGGGTGGATGGGTTGCAGAGATGGCTTAGTAGTTAAAAACCCTTGCTGCTCTTTCGGAGAACCCAAGCTCAGTTCCCAGCACCCACATCTGCAGGTCGTGACTTCCTGTAATTCCAGCTCTAGGGGATCTGATACCCTCTTCTGGATGGGCACCCACACATATATGGCACACATACAAACACACATGCAGCCAAATAAACAATAAATCTTGAAAGAAGAAAACCTAAATGAGAACTTGGCAATAAACATTTGAAAAATCATAGAGGCTGCAGTAATGGCTCAGTCATTAAGAGCACTGGCTGCTCTTGCAGGGGACCTGGGTTCAGTTCCCAGCACCCACATGGTGGCTCACAATTGTCTGTAACTCCGGCTTCAGTGTATGAGATACCCTCCTACAACTCCTATGGGCACTGCACACACATAGTAACATATATGCAGAAAACTTAAAAAATAACTAAATAGCCCAGTGACATTATTCCTTTATCCCAGCACTTGGGAGGCAGAGGCAGGTGGGTCTCTGTGCGTTTGAGGCCAGCCTGGTCTACAGAGTGAGTTCCAGGACAGCCAGGGCTGCATGTTGAGACCCTGTCTCAAAACAACAACAAGCATATAAAAAACTAAATCAATGAGGAGGTGCAGGAGTGTGCACTGACCAGGGAAGGTTCTGTTGTGTTAGAGAGGCCTGGAGTTCATTGGGAAACGCTGTTGTGTTAGAGAGGCCTGGAGTTCATCGGGAAACGCTGTTGTGTTAGAGAGGCCTGGAGTTCATCGGGAAACGGAGTGAGCCAGGTGGAAATGTGTCTAGATGATGGACTAGCTCATGCAAAGTGCCTGGAGTAGGAACGTGAATGATGAGGTGCCCGTGTGGCTGGGACAGTGAGTGACAGGACGGGGTCCCTGACAATAAAGCTTCCCCATTAGTTTGGCTGCTGCCACTGCTGAATCCTCCGGTGACCTGCAGAAACCACATCCTTCTTCCCAGAAAAATGCTCCCCGCATTTCTCATGCAGAGTTGAGTGTCCCAGGAACCCCTCGACAGGCAATGTCCCCTTCCCCAGCTCCAGACTGTCTTCACAGCCTGACACTTTTCCTGCAGGTTCTGGACAAACACGGGGACATCTTCGGGCGGGAACGGATTGCGGAGCTGCTGGGCATGGATCTGGCCTCTCTGGAAATCACGGCCCACAATGAGCGCAAACCTGACCCTCCACCGGGGCTGCTGACATGGTGAGGAGACCCCCCAACCAGGGGCGGGCCAGGGGACCCTTCAGCCAGGGGCGGGCTAGGGACCCCCAGCCAGGGGCGGGCCAGGGGACCCCTCAGCCAGGGGCAGGCTAGGGACCCCTCAGCCAGGGGACATGGCTCTTATCTGACGCCCAGGCATCTGGCCTTCTCCCTCCCTGTTCCTTCAGGATCATGTCCATCGATGTCAAGTACCAGATCTGGAAGTTTGGAGTCATCTTCACAGACAACGTGAGGGGGGCCATGGGTGGAGAGGGGTGGCAGCAGGAGAGAAATACGCCCGGATGCGGGAACAGCCCACGCAAAGCCCCTAGGATAGCTATCTATGTTCCGGTTGTTTGAAGGGCTTTGGGAGGGTTCCAGGGCTCCCTGACTCCAGAAAGATTCCTAAGCCCCTGTGTAGCCTCGGTCCTAGGGTGCCTTCCCACTCTGCGGTCCCCTGTCCCCGGAATATGCATTGTGCAGGGTCCTTCTGGTCTCCCGCTGCTCCCTGGCTCCCGCGCGCTCTGGAGCAGATACCCCCCTGGGCGGAGATGGCATCTGTCCGTGCTCTGGGGCGTCCTTCCATGTTTCCTGACCCCGACCCCTTTACCCTCAGTCTTTCCTGTATCTGGGCTGGTACATGGTGATGTCCCTCCTGGGACACTACAATAACTTCTTCTTCGCTGCCCACCTTCTGGACATCGCCATGGGGGTCAAGACGCTACGCACCATCCTCTCGTCTGTGACCCACAACGGAAAGCAGGTGTGGAGAGGACCTGGCAGGGACCTGGGCGGAAATCTGGGCGTGGCAGGAAGGAAGGGGCGGTGGTCAAGAGCTCCGCCGCCCGGGTGGGGGGTGGGGGGGAATTGGGTGCGTGGGAGGGCGTGGCGCGACCATTTCTGAGGGGCGGGACAAAGGGAATGGCCATCTGGAAGGGTCTGAGCCAGGAGGTTAGGGCATCTTTGGTTTGTTTGTATGTTTTATCGGGAGGTTATTTGAGATGGAGATGGGTTCCTCTCGAACTCACAGAGATGGACCCGCCTCCGCCTCCGTGCTGGGATTAAAGGCGTGCGCCTGGCCTAGGATAGGGCATTCTGGGAGAGGGAGAGCCAAGCAGCTGGGGCTCCAGAACCCCAAGGGTCAGGGAGTTGAGGTTCCTGTGTGGAAGGGGCGGGAAGCTGACGACACACGCCTGCCCGTTCGCAGCTGGTGATGACTGTAGGGCTCCTGGCCGTGGTGGTCTACCTGTACACCGTGGTGGCCTTCAACTTCTTCCGCAAATTCTACAACAAGAGCGAGGACGAGGACGAGCCTGACATGAAATGTGACGACATGATGACGGTGAGCCCTCGCCACGCTCGCCTGTGAGCCACTAAGTGTGTTCGTCAGGGTCCCTGCTGCTGGGAAGAAACAGCATGACCCAAGCAACCTGGGGAGAGAGGGGTTAATTTCCCTCACAGTTCCATATGGCAGCCCATCAAAAGCAGTGAGGACAGGAACCTGGAGGCAGGAGCTGACGCAGAGGCCGTGCAGGGCGCTGCTGACTGACTTGCTGCTCATGGCTTGCCCAGCCGGCTTTCTTACAGAACCCAGAGTCTGCACAGAGGCGGCGTCACCCACAGAGGCCTGGGCCCTCCCCCATCAATCACTAATTAAGAAAGGTCTTACGGAAGCATTTTCTCAAACGAGTTTTCCTCCTTTGAGGTAATCTAGCTTGTGTCAAGCTGACGTAAGACTAGCCAGCACACTAAGCTTCCATGGGCTGTCTGAAAGGGTTAAATAACACCATCTGTGTCATGAGTGGGAGGGGGAGACAGACAGCTGATGCAGCCAAGATGCTGTGAACAGGACCAGAGGCCAGCATGATTCAGCTGTTAAAACTGTAAACGGGGCCGGGCGGTGGTGGCGCACGCCTTTGATCCCAGCACTCGAGAGGCAGAGGCAGGCGCATCTCTGTGAATTCGAGGCCAGCCTGGTCTACAGTTAAGTTCCAAGACAGGTTCCAAAGCTACACAGAGAAACCCCGTCTCGAAAAAACTAAAAAACAAAAAACAACCCAGACACCTATAAGCTGTTGCCTTGAATCCCAACACTCAGGAGGCAGAAGCAAGGGAATCTGTGAGTTCAAGGCCAGCCTGGTCTACAAAGCGAGTTCCTTGACAGCCAGGGCTACACAGAGAAGCCTTGTCTCAAAGCAGCAAAGGCCTTCGGTTTGCTGGTCTCGAGGCTGTAGCTGGGTAGTGGAGCTGTGGCCTAACAGGCCCGGCTCATCTTAGCGCCGATGAAGTATCACTGTTGGGAAGGTGGCGGTGTGCTCTCTGTCCTCCTTGAGTGGGGTGACCTGGAGTGAGGAACACACGTACTGCCGAGGGATCTGTAGGCCTGAGACTTCCTAGCCTTAGGAGCCTTGGAAGTCTTAGCCTAGAGGTCAGAGGGGTAAGTTAAGGGAAGAACACATGCAAGTGTGCACAAGACCCTTGGTTCAGCAAACGTGTTGATGCAGTCCCAGAACTCAGGGGCAGGAGGGTCACAAGTTCAAAGCCAGGCTACACAGGTGGGGAAACTACTCCAAAGGTTCTCCTTTTTTTGTTGTTGTTTTGTTTTTTCTTTTTCGAGACAGGGTTTCTCTGTGTAGCCCTTGCTGTCCTGGCACTCGCTCTGTAGACCAGGCTGGTCTGGAACTCACAGAGATCCGCCTGCCTCTGCCTCTTGAGTGCTGGGATTAAAGGCGTGCGCCAGCACCTCCTGGCTAAAGGTTCTCTTTTCTCCCATGGTTCAGTCGTCACTGCATGTGCCTCTTTTTCTAACAATGGCACTCATTGATGCGCTAGAGGTAAGACCACAGTTGAGAGACTCATTCCAAGGGTTCGTGCCTTCATGGCCCTCACTCACGGGTCACGGTCACTGACCCGAGCTCTTAGACAACACAGCCGGGTCCTCTCACCTCCTGGGCATACCGAAAACCCAGTGTGAAGTCTGCCCCACGTGCCAGATGGACCAAGCCCCACCCCCTCCTCTCCTTAGAACCTTCCAGTGGCCCACACCCCCAGCGGAGCAGGCTGAATCATGGCACCACGGCCTACAAACCCAGGGAAGAGCTGGCTCTACCTGAGTCTAACCACAGGCCGTTGTGCTTTCGATTTCTGGCTTCCTGGTTCTTTTTCGGTTCCTTTAGGACCATGTGTTTCCTTCCATCTCTGGTCCTCTGCATTGGTGTCTCTCTGCCCTGACCTGGCGGCTTCCCCCCCTCACCTGACATCTTACCTTCCAGATTAAATGCTGCCTCCTACAGGGAGGGAGCCCTCTCTCTGACCGTTGCTGGGGCCAGAGCCTGCAGAGCCCACGTAACCCGTCCCTGTGCGTCTCCCTCTCTGTTCTTGCTCACGGTGACGCCTTTCCCGGTCTCACCAACCGGATTTCAGTTCCTCAGGGAAGCAAAAACAGTTTTTTTCTTTTCTTTTTTTTCTTTTTTTGTTTTTCGAGACAGGGTTTCTCTGCATTGCTTTGCAGGCTGTCTTGGAACTCGCTCTGTAGACCAGGCTGGCCTTGAACTCACGGAGATCCGCCTGCCTCTGCCTCCTGAGTGCTGGGATTAAAGGTGTGCACCACCAACGCCCGGCTTCTTCTTCTTCTTCTTCTTTTTTTTAACATGTATGGTGTTCGTGTTTTGCCTGCAACTATGTCTTAGTTACAGATGGCTGTGAGCCACCATGTGGGTGCTGGGAATTGAACTTGGTTCCTTTGGAAGAGCAGCCAGTGCTTTTAACCATGAATGCCGCACTCTAGTCCAAAAGAAATATAAAAACTTTGGTGTGGTTGGGAAGTGGTGGCGCACGCCTTTAATCCCAGCACTCCAGAGTTTGAGGTCAACCTGGTTTACAGAAGGGATTCTAACACAGAAAAACGCTGCCTTGCACTCGGGAGGCAGAGGCAGGTGAATCCCTGTGAGTTCGAGGCCAGCCTGGTCTACCGAGTAAGTTCCAGGACAGCCTCCAAAACAATACAGAGAAACCCTGCCTCGAAAAAAAAAGAAAGAAAAACGCTGCCTTGGAAATAAAAATAAAACAAAAAATACTTTGGTGTGTGTGCGTGTGTGTGTGTGCGCGCGTGCATGCGTGTGTGTGTGCGCGCGCGTGCATGCGTGCATGCGTGTGTGTGCGCGCGCGTGCATGCATGCCTGCCTGCATGTGTGCTGCGTGTGCGCGCGTGCATGCGTGCATGTGTGTATGTGCGCGCGCGTGCATGCGTGTGTGTGCGCGCGCGTGCATGCGTGTGTGTGCGCGTGCATGCGTGCATGTGTGTGTGCACGCGTGCATGCATGCCTGCCTGCATGTGTGCGTGCGTGTGCGCGCGTGCATGCGTGCATGTGTGTGTGTGTGCGCGCGCGTGCATGCGTGTGTGTGTGCGCGCATGCGTGCATGTGTGTGTGCGCGCGTGCATGCATGCCTGCATGTGTGCGTGCGTGTGCGCGCGTGCATGCGTGCATGTGTGTGTGTGTGTGCGCGCGCGCGTGATAAGATTGGAGCCCAAGCCTTGTTGCACACCAGCCCACAAACTTTATCCTTCCCTCCCAGATGGTGACAGCACATTGTTTTTGACTACCCGCTCACTCTCGTCCATCACCCATTCTCATAGTGCTTCCTTCAGCCTCCAGCTGGGAGTCTGGCCCTCCTGGTGAAGCCATTGCCCTCTGAGGCGGTCTGAGCTTGTGAGGGCTCCTGTGCGTTCTCCTGCTCTTAGTGGGCCTCTCCTGACCCCTCTGCCTCTGCCACCCCATCCTTTTTCTGATCCCCAGTGTGGCCAAGGGTGACCTTGAACTTCTGGTCCTCCGGCCACCACTGGACAGGCATGTGCCACCATCCCTGTTGTTGTTGTGGGTTTTTTGTTTGTTTGTTTGGTTTGGTTTGGTTTGGTTTGGTTTTACGAGACAGGGTTTCTCTGTATTGTTTTGGAGGCTGTTGGTCCAGCCTGGCCTCGAACTCACAGAGATCCACCTGCCTCTGCCTCCCGAGTGCTGGGCCACCATCCCTGTTTTATGTGGGGATGGGGATCAAACCCAGGGCCTCAAGCATGCCAGGCCAGCACACGATCCCCAGCTCTGACCCCTCGTATCTGCCCACCGTGACCAGATACCTCACAAAGGCAACTTGCGGAAGAAAGGGATGATTTTGGCCCCTGATTTGAGAACGCAGTCAGCCCGTCAGGGTGTCCGGAACATGAGGTGGCTGGTCACTCTGAGTCCCCAGTGAGGAAGCAGTGGGGGGAGCAATGCTCTCCCCTTTGGGTTCATTCTGGGACCCCAGCCCCCACTGGGTCCGCATTCAGGGTAGATCTTCCCACCTCAGTTAACCCAATCTAGAAGCTTCCTCCTGGGCACGCCCAGAAGTGGCCTCTAGCTGAGCCTAGCTCCTGTCAAGTTGGTGACATGAGCCATGAAGGTCCACTGTCACCTGCTGGCCGATGCCTTCCGAGGACAGCCCTGACACTCCCCAGGCGGTGCCTGTCACTGCTGTGTCTCTAGCCGTGCCAGCCCGGGCTCCTGGCAGGCGGCGGTGGCTGTTGTCTGAGTGGGCCCTCCCTCCCCCCCAGTGCTACCTGTTCCACATGTATGTGGGTGTCCGGGCTGGTGGCGGCATCGGGGACGAGATCGAGGACCCAGCGGGCGACGAGTACGAGCTCTACCGGGTGGTCTTCGATATCACCTTCTTCTTCTTTGTCATCGTCATCCTGCTGGCCATCATTCAGGGTGGGTGCCCAGTGTCCGGGTGTGTGGGTGTGGGAGTGCCCAGTGTCCGGGTGTGTGGGTGCCCAGTGTCCGGGTGTCCGGGTGTGTGGGTGCCCAGTGTCCGGGTGTGTGGGTGCCCAGTGTCCGGGTGTGTGGGTGTGGGAGTGCCCAGTGTCCGGGTGTGTGGGTGCCCAGTGTCCGGGTGTGTGGGTGCCCAGTGTCCGGGTGTGTGGGTGTCCAGTGTCCGGGTGTGTGGGTGTGTGGGTGCCCAGTGTCCGGGTGTGTGGGTGTGTGGGTGTCCAGTGTCCGGGTGTGTGGGTGTCCAGTGTCCGGGTGTGTGGGTGCCCAGTGTCCGGGTGTGTGGGTGCGGGTGCCCAGTGTCCGGGTGTGTGGGTGTGTGGGTGTCCAGTGTCCGGGTGTGTGGGTGTCCAGTGTCCGGGTGTGTGGGTGCCCAGTGTCCGGGTGTGTGGGTGCCCAGTGTCCGGGTGTGTGGGTGTGGGAGTGCCCAGTGTCCGGGTGTGTGGGTGCCCAGTGTCCGGGTGTGTGGGTGCCCAGTGTCCGGGTGTGTGGGTGTCCAGTGTCCGGGTGTGTGGGTGTGTGGGTGCCCAGTGTCCGGGTGTGTGGGTGTGTGGGTGTCCAGTGTCCGGGTGTGTGGGTGTCCAGTGTCCGGGTGTGTGGGTGCCCAGTGTCCGGGTGTGTGGGTGCGGGTGCCCAGTGTCCGGGTGTGTGGGTGTGTGGGTGTCCAGTGTCCGGGTGTGTGGGTGTCCAGTGTCCGGGTGTGTGGGTGCCCAGTGTCCGGGTGTGTGGGTGCCCAGTGTCCGGGTGTGTGGGTGCCCAGTGTCCGGGTGTGTGGGTGCCCAGTGTCCGGGTGTGTGGGTGTCCAGTGTCCGGGTGTGTGGGTGTCCAGTGTCCGGGTGTGTGGGCGTGTGGGTGCCCAGTGTCCGGGTGTGTGGGTGCCCAGTGTCCGGGTGTGTGGGTGTGTGGGTGCCCAGTGTCCGGGTGTGTGGGTGTGTGGGTGTCCAGTGTCCGGGTGTGTGGGTGTGTGGGTGCCCAGTGTCCGGGTGTGTGGGTGCCCAGTGTCCGGGTGTGTGGGTGCCCAGTGTCCGGGTGTGTGGGTGCCCAGTGTCCGGGTGTGTGGGTGTCCAGTGTCCGGGTGTGTGGGTGTGTGGGTGTCCAGTGTCCGGGTGTGTGGGTGTGTGGGTGCCCAGTGTCCGGGTGTGTGGGTGTGTGGGTGTCCAGTGTCCGGGTGTGTGGGTGCCCAGTGTCCGGGTGTCCGGGTGTGTGGGTGTCCAGTGTCCGGGTGTGTGGGTGTGTGGGTGTCCAGTGTCCAGGTGTGTGGGTGCCCAGTGTCCGGGTGTGTGGGTGTCCAGTGTCTGGGTGTGTGGGTGTGTGGGTGCCCAGTGTCCGGGTGTGTGGGTGCCCAGTGTCCGGGTGTGTGGGTGTGTGGGTGTCCAGTGTCCGGGTGTGTGGGTGCCCAGTGTCCGGGTGTGTGGGTGTGGGAGTGCCCAGTGTCCGGGTGTGTGGGTGCGGGTGCCCAGTGTCTGGGGGCTGGCTTCCTTCCCTGCCTTAGCCTCTTCCTGCAATGAGACCTCAGGTCAGTGGTGTCCGGAGCCTCAGTTTCTCCATCTGAAAAGTGGAGGCGTTAAAACCGTGCACTGTGGCACATGGCTGCAATCCCAGCACTCGGGAAGTAGAGGCTGGAGGCCTGCGTATGCTTGAGGCCAACCTGGTCTACGTAGTTAAGAGGCTGGAGGAAGCCTGCATAAACGTGAGGCCAACCTGGTCTACATAGTTAAGAGGCTGGAGGCCTGTGTATGCTTGAGGCCAACCTGGTCTACATAGTTAAGAGGCTGGAGGCCTGCGTATGCTTGAGGCCAACCTGGTCCACGCTCCAGGCCAGTCAAGGCCATGGTGTTTAAGATCACCGTGAAGATCAAGCCATGCGTTCCTTCCAAGTGTCCTCCCCATAGGAAGTACCCAGTAGCCACCTGGCTCTGCTCTGCTTGGGAAGTGTGGTGAGCCTAGGGAACCCATGCAGGAAAGGCAAGGCCCAGAGGTGCTGGGTGTACATGGGTCCCAACCTGTGTCCTGCCACTCCAGGTCTGATTATTGATGCCTTTGGGGAGCTCCGAGACCAACAGGAGCAAGTGAAGGAAGACATGGAGGTGCGTCACGTCCCTGGGTGGATCTGAGGGGTTATGGGACACCGGGGATGTCACGTGCGCCTCGACTCTGACATCTTTCATTGCCCTCAGACAAAGTGCTTCATTTGCGGAATAGGCAGTGACTACTTCGATACAACCCCGCATGGGTTTGAGACCCACACCCTGGAAGAGCATAACCTGGCCAATTACATGTGAGGATGGGAAGTGGTGGGTGATCAAGGGGGTGGGAGAGAGGCCGTTGACAGCCAGGACAGGGTACTGAGCCTGGGCCAGTTATGGGAAGGACTGTGGGTATCCATGGTTTTTAGCCAATCAGCAGGTAAGCATCACTGTGGCTCAGTGATAAAACAAAATCCCCCAGTGAGGGGCTGGGGGCATGGCTTAGTGGTAGAGCCCCTGCCTAGAATCCACCAGTGAGGGCTAGGGGGCGTGGCTCAGTGGTAGAGCATCTGCCTAGAATCCCCCAGTGAGGGGCTGGGGGGCATGGCTCAGTGGTAGAGCCCCTGCCTAGAATCCCCCAGTGAGGGACTGGGGGCATGGCTCAGTGGTAGAGCATCTGCCTAGAATCCCCCAATGAGGGCTAGGGGGCGTGGCTCAGTGGTAGAGGCCCTGCCTAGCATGCACTAAGCTCTGCATTTGAAAACAAAACTAAACCTCAATGCATGTATGGTTACCTTTCCCCTGTGGTCCCGTCCCTCAGGTTTTTCCTGATGTATTTGATAAACAAGGATGAGACAGAGCACACGGGTCAGGTAAGGGGTTCTAATGAGGGATGAGTAGGGACTTGGCCGACAGAAAGCCATCCCAGCAGGCTACACTCTAGTTACACCCTGAGTGCGCTCTGTAAACTGGTCTTGGAGAGGGGACAGTCAGCAGGGACCAGAAACCTTGAAGAGTGACCAAAGGACTCTTGTGCCCCCAACCCTAGGAGTCGTATGTCTGGAAGATGTACCAGGAAAGGTGCTGGGATTTCTTCCCTGCTGGAGACTGTTTCCGCAAGCAGTATGAGGACCAGCTCAGCTGAGCTCTGCAGCTGGCCCTCCCCACCTCAAGTGCCTCACTCCCCCTGGGAGCTCCTGGCCAGGTCGCTGGGCACCAGCGGTGCTGGAGTAGATGAATAAAGTCCGTGCCACACCCCAGCATCCTCGCATTGGATCATTTAAATCGGAGGGGACTGGGCACCCAAAACTGCCCCCACCCAAGAAAAGCAAGATGACAGCAGACTGCAGTCGTGTTTATTGGAGGATAAGGACATGTGACCACTGGTGCGTCTGTTAGGAGCCTGCAGGGGTCCATTTCTCAGCCCTCTCAGGGGCTCATTCCTGGATGTAGAGGTTGCTAGGGGCGGTGGGGTCATCAGAGGGCCGAGTCTCCACCACGACAGGCCTGGAGGAGAGACAGGTCGTGTCACTCACGGGCTCATTCTCAAAGCAGTTAACAGAAGCTGTGCCGTTCCAAGTCTGGGCTGTGGCAGTGACTAAGCAGGCACATGCCTACGATCCCAACAGCTGGGAGGCTGAGGCAGGAAGACCGGGGTTCAAGGTTGTCCTAGCCACATAAGGAGTCTGAAGAGGGCTGGTGAGAGGGCTTGCCACCAAACTTAATGTCCCAGGTTCAATCCCTGGGACCCACACAGCAGAAGGAGAGAATGCCCTCCCAAAGATGTCCTCTGATCTCCAGCTGCCCTCTGGGACACACACACCCCAGGTAACAAGAGAGAATTGGAGCGCAAGCGGGGGATACTCGGTGAGACACCGTCTCCCAGCAACAACAGCAAAGGCGCCTTGGGGAGTTCACCTCCCAACACCAATCCGTGTCCTAAGCCAAAGAAGAAACCCCTACTCCACACCAGCAGCCCCTCCCACCCCTCCCATCCCCCAGCACCACACCTGGGGGAGCCCAGCAGACGGAAGGTGAGGCTGGGGTCTCTTAGCTCCTGCAGCAGCTGTGGAGAGAGCGTGGGTGTGGCTGTAGGATGGCCCCTCCCTACAAGGAGAAGTCTGACCCCAGAGCCACTCACGAAGCTGTGTGATTTCGAGCAAGTGACTTAACTGCTCTGTGTCCAAGAGACACACAGTGCTTTATCTCATAGCAGCTGTGAAGAGTGAACTAAGCTGTGTGATGCTGGCACTCGCCTTTGGGAGGCAGAGGCAGGTGGATCTCTGTGAGTTCCAGGCCAGCCTGGTCTACACAGGGAGTGCCAGCATAGGTTCCAAAGCTACTGAGAAACCCCCGTCAAAAAAAAAAAAAAAAAAAGAGCTTCCTCCCTCCAAGGGTGGTGGTGAGGCACTACCCCAAAGTTTCCCGGCAGCAGTCCCTGCCCTGGGACCCAGGGCTTCTCTGCGCCCATTTATAGGGTGAGGAGACTGAGGAGAGGGCGAGGCAGTGATGTGAACTGAAGGGGGCCTACCTGTTCCGAGCCTGGAGCCCACACTTGAACTCCATGCTTCCAGAAGGCCTGGAGTCTGTCTCCAACCATAGCTGGAGGGAGAGCAGTCGCCTGTGACCCTTGAGGTCACGGAGTTCTCACCCTTGACCCTGACCCCTCTCCTCCCAGCACATACCCACAGCCTCCACCGCTTCGGTCATGGGGATCTCAGGGGTGCGGAGCCCGGGAGCCGGGGCCCCCTCCGGGGTCACTAGCTTCAGAGAGCCTGGGAGGAAGGGAAGGGAAGGTCTTGAACAAGAAGTCCGGGGGCGAGGACCAGGAAGGGGAGGGAGGAGGAGCTTACCGTCCATCAACACCATCACCAGGTCGTCCTTAACTTGGGTCACCTGCACTGGTCCCTGGTGCTCTGTGTGAGAGGCGGGGCTTAAGAACCGACTGCCTGACCCTGTGTTCGGCTCCACCCCTCGGGTCCCTACCTGCCACAGGCCCTCCCTGCTACCCGTTTGACCGTCTTCCTCAGCACTGGCCCAGGCTTCGCCCTGCCCAGCCGCTCTGACCCTCCCCTCCACGAGGGTCCACTCTGCCTCGCAGCCGCCTTAACCTGTAATCCCACCCTCCTTAGGCCCACCTCATCTTGCAGTCCCCTCCCACAACCCTGTCCTTTCCCGCGACCACGCCCCTTCCTGAAGCCCCGCCCACCCTGCAGCCCGAACCCCATCCTTGCAGCCCCGCCTTTGTCATCTGCAGCAGACACACCTCTTTCTTCCCTACAACCCCGCCTTCCTCTCCCTTGGAGCCCCACCCTCCCTGAAGCCCCTCCTCTCCCATGCAGCCCCTCCCTCCCCCGGAGCTCCTCCCTTCCTGCTGTCCCTCTTCTCCCCTGCAGCCCCGGGTCTCCGCGGCGCGGCCCGCTCACCGGTGCTGGAGTCGTCCAGCCAGCAGGACAGGGCACCGAAGCGCACGGTGTGGAAGAGCACCGACCTCGCCGCGTGCCCGGGGCTCACGCCGATGCACACGGCCGGCAGCTCGGAGCCCGGCGCTGTCAGCAGCGCGAACACAGGCAGCGGCGTGGGCAGCGGGAACAGCACCTGCTGCGGGCCGCAAGGGGAAGGGCGGCTCAGGGAAACTGGGTGGGACGGTGGCAGAGGCCCTGGGGAGCTACTGACCTCGTCAGAAACAAAGCATGCCCTTAGAGTAAATGTGGCCGTGTCTGGAGGCGTGTCGGCCTGGAGGCCGAAAGGCAGGGTACCCACCCACCCACACCCACACTTTAGACTCAGAAACAGCAAAAACACTTTAGCCTTAAAAGAACGGACCCTTGGAAACAGAAATAACTAAGCTCGGGTGTGAGGCGTTAAGGAACAGAAAGGGCTATTCTTTAATGATGTACTTATTTTTATTTTCTGTGCGTTGGTGTTTTGTCTGCATGTCTGTGTGAGGGTGTTGAATCCTCCAGAACTGGAGTTACAGACAGCTGGGAGCTGCCATGTGGGCTCTGGGAACTGAACCTGAGTCCTTTGGAAGAGCAGCCAGTGATCTTAACCACTGAGCCATCTCTCCGGACCTTCAAGAAGTTTTCAAAAGGCCTCAGGATGGAGGGTGGGGTGGGAGAGGGTTCATCCAATGGTGGTAGGTCCAAACTGCAGCACTCTGCCGCGAACTTACCCGGACAAGCAGGAATTTGTTCATTGGCTGGTACCACTGGAGCAGGATCACCGACGTCTCCAAAGCCCCGCACAGGAACGGGCCCCCAGAGCTGGCACTCTCGGCTGTGGAAGTGGGCAGGGGTGGGTCAGGGTCCCTGTCTCCTTCCCAGACCACCCTGTGTCTTTCCCTGGGCCCTGGACACTTTGCCTCAACCTTATTGAGTGGACACTGCCCGAGGACCCCCTGAGGCTGACTCTCACCCTCCCAGCACCCCCAGGCTGACTCTCACCCTCCCAGCACCCCGAGGCTGGCTCCCCACCCTCCCAGCACCCCGAGGCTGACTCTCACCCACACAGCAGGCCCGGCAGCCTTTGGTATCCTGGACCTTCGTGGAGACCATGTTCTTTCTGAAGAAGAAGGAGGTGGGGATGGCCGTGGGCACGGCAGTAGGGGCAGGGAAGCCAGCTGTGCCCTTTGGGGCTGCTACCTTGCCAGTAAGCGGTGAGGGCTAATGTGAGCAATGGGGCTTCCTGTCCGGATCTCCTTCCTCTCCAGCAGGCCCAGGATGCTATGAGAATACAGGTGGGGAGTCTTCCCTGCAGTGTGGGGGAGGGGGAGGAGAGGGGGAGGGGAAGCGGTTTTAGGACCCCTTGCCATCTCTTGCCTCCAGCTATGCTAGCTCCGGCCCTTTGAAACTCCCCGTCATGCAGACCCCTCCTGCCTTTCAGACAGTCCCCACCCTCCACATCTGGAAGGACAGTGCGGTCCAGGCACTGTGATCCGCTTGGGAAAACAGGGCAGGATGGGCGCGGTACCCTCGGAGCACAAGGGGAGCTTAACCAGCCTGTGAAGTTTGCACTTCAGTTTTATTTATTTCTGGTGCGTGTTTCTCAAAACAGGGTCTCATGTGGTCCAGGCTAGCCTCTGATGCCCCCATGTAGCTGAGATTGGTATTGGACTCCTGTGTCACCGCACCTGGTAGCTATGTCAAAGTTTAACAAAACAAAACAACAACAACAAAAAAACTACCTATGCCGGCAGTGGTAGCACCTGCTTGTTAGGCTCAGGACTTGGGAGGCTGAGGCCAGAGAACTGACCCGAGTTCAAGGCTAGCCTGGGATACACAGTGGGACTTCTGTCTCAGAAAACATGGCGCTGCTGGAGACACAGCTCAGTGGTAGCCCATTTGTACATATGCGCCAGTTCATTACTTATCAAAACCAACCAAACAAAAGCCCCGAAACTTCTTCCATCTATGTTACGTTGGTGGCGCACACCCTTAGTCCCAGCACTCGGGAGGCAGAGGCAGGCGGATCTCTGGGAGTTCGAGGCCAGCCTGGTCTACAGAGTGAGTTCAAGGACAGCCTCCAAAACAATACAGAGAAACCCTGTCTCGAAAAACCAAAAAAAACAAAAAACAAAAAAACTAGCAACCAACTTGGGAGGGGACGATTCCGCAGATAAGAAAACTGCCGAGGTTGTACTGAGGCTCAGGGAGAGAAGCCCCTCGCCTTCAGGTTACCTGGTAGGAAAGTGCTAGAATTTGAACCTCAGGCTCAGTGAAGCTGAAGACTCATCCACACTTAACTCCGCACCCCCACCCCTCCCCCAACTCCTGACCACTGCCCCTCCCCCAAGCCCACAGGCCGACCTGAGAGAGACATGAGGAGGTTGTTGATGCAATACACCCAGGTTGTCCGGCCAGGGAAGAGCTGCAGAGAATGGGGTGACTTCTGTAACTCCTGTTCAACACCCCAACACCCAACCCCCTCCCCAGGCACTGCCGCCATGCCTCACCATCTCCAGTGTGGCCTCCTGGTCGTTCCGGTTGAGAATGAAAATGCCTTCCTCTGCACCCAGGAGCAGATGTTGGTCTGAGTGGGTCAGACAAGGCAGCTGCTGGGGTCTCTCATTGTGGGGGAAGGACCTCCCAATCTCTGTTCCACACTGGCCCTCCACCCACCCCACCGTTTCATACTCATTCTCCCTGAGACTGACACCCCAGCTTGTGTCTCTCAAGTCTAAACTCAAACCCCTGACCCTTCTCTGTGACTCGCAATGTCGGGCAGTCCTCTGTCGCTGACTCTCCAACTCTGCTTTTCC